CAGGATAATGAAAAGTTAAAGAAGTCTTCAAAAAACACTTTCCCCTCCCTCCTTCCCAGGCTCTCCCTCCTACCTCCAGAGATGGGAATGGGGGTCACAGTCAGTTCATACCATGTTGCTCCTCCTGCTCTGCAGGGCTGCTCCTCTCACATGTTCTCACTCTGCTCCTCCCTGCACCCAGTTAATCTGTGCCATTACTTTTTCCTTAAACATGTTATCCCAGAGGTGTAACTGTCATTCCTGCTGGGCTCAGCTTTGGCCAGTGGTGGGTCTGTCCTGGGTCTGCTGGAATTGGCTCTACTGGACATGGGGCAAACTTCTGGCAGTTTCTCACTGAATCCAACCCTGTAGCCCCTCCGCTACCAAACCCTGGGCACACCAACCCAACTCCCCGTGTCACCGTCTCCACCCCTTAACCCGTTCCTGTCCCCCATGTCCAGGCGATCCGGCTGATCCAGGCCTGCGTGGACGTGCTGTCCAGCAATGGGTGGCTGAGCCCAGCTCTGGCCGCCATGGAGCTGGCCCAGATGGTCACCCAGGCCATGTGGTCCAAGGACTCCTACCTCAAGCAGCTGCCTCACTTCACCTCGGAGCACATCAAGCGCTGCACGGACAAGGTAAATCCTGGTGGGAGGAGCACCAGGGTCCTGCCCTCGGAGTGCCGGGAAGCTCCAGGCTGAAAAAATCCCTCCTTGCAGGGTGTGGAGAGCGTGTTTGACATCATGGAGATGGAGGACGAGGACAGGAACGCGCTGCTGCAGCTCTCAGATGCCCAGATCGCCGATGTCGCCCGGTTCTGCAACCGCTACCCCAACATCGAGCTGTCCTACGAGGTGGTGGACAAGGACAGCATCCGCAGGTGGGTGGCCTTGGGGTCCCTCCAGCTGGGTGGAACTTAAGGTCCCTCCAACCCCAACCATTCCACGATTCTGTGGTTCTGTTCCTGCAGTGGAGGGCCCGTGGTGGTGCTGGTGCAGCTGGAGCGTGAGGAGGAGGTCACAGGGCCTGTCATCGCACCCCTGTTCCCTCAGGTATGGTGACACTGGGGTGGCAGGTTGGGGAGGGGGGGAATTGTCCCCAGATCTCACCTGTTTGCTCCTCCCTCCCCCTCAGAAACGTGAGGAGGGCTGGTGGGTGGTGATCGGAGACTCCAAGTCCAACAGCCTCATCTCCATCAAGCGCCTGACGCTGCAACAGAAGGCCAAGGTGAGTAGGGGGTGGCACCGGGGGTGGCACTGGGCACCTTCCCTTCTGTCCCTGCTGCCATCCCAACACCTCCCCCTCCCCACCCAGGTCAAGCTGGATTTCGTGGCTCCAGCCACGGGGACTCACAACTACACATTGTACTTCATGAGTGACGCCTACATGGGCTGTGACCAGGAGTACAAGTTCAGTGTAGACGTGAAGGAGGCGGAAAGCGACAGCGACTCCGACTGATCCGAGGCCAGAGGATTCCCCCTAGAGCTCAGCCCCCCACCCCCAACCTCCACAGCACTCGTGTCCCCTCCCTTTGTGTTGTTTCCATGTGTTTTCCACGTGTTTTCCTTTGGTTTTTTAAAGTGTGGGTGCTTTGTACAGTGTTTTCTAGACAGGAGCTGCATGACAGCAACTGCAATAAATCTCGGGACCTGACTCTGTGCTGAAGGGGTGAGGAGGGGGGGAAAAAGTGTGATTCCAGACTCGCTGAGCTCTGCCTTCACCCTGAGGCTCAACAAGCTCATTAGCAGCACTAATTAGGACATTTCTGGGAAAACTATGATGATCCCAACACCTCAGTGCTTCCCCTTGGGTGGTCCTGTCCCCTTGTGCCACCTCATCCATGTCCAGGGAGCACTCACACCCTCTTGTGTCACTCTGAGGGTTCCAGGAGTGTGAAAGGAAGATCCCAGGTGTGTGATCATGGAATCCTGAAGGTTGGAAGAGACTTTAGGATCGAGTCCAACCATCAACCCAAGAACTGTAAGCCCCAAACCACTTGTGGAAGGAAGATCCAGAGGCCAGGAGCTCATGGATTTATTGGGGGGGGGGGAAGAGAGGGGAGAAAGTCCTGCTCCATATCCTGGATCCAACCAGAGTCTGGCACAGCTGTCCTGGCCTCCCACAGGTGAGAAGGAGGAGCAGGCCAGGGTGGGCTCAGGGGGACACACAAGGGGGTCTGTCCCCCTCAGCAGCCCTCGGGGCGCTGGTACTTCCAGAAGGCAATGTCCCCGTCATCGCTGCAGGACGCCAGGAGTCCTGGCTCCTTGGGGTTCCAGGCCACCCCGTTGACGTCCTGGGAGTGTGCCCGGGGCACGTGGGCGGTGAGGCTGAAGGTGGGCTGGGCCTCCTCCGACGTGGGGCTCTCCTCGAACACCCGGATGGCGTCGTCACCACAGGCTGTGGCCAGGGCACCTGTCAGGTGGCACCTGGGGGACACACAGAGGGGATGGGACCTGGGGAGGTGGCATCTGGAAGGGACAGGGCCCTAATGAGGTGGCACCTGGAGGGGTCGTGGGTGTCACCAGGAGGGGACAGGGCCCCGTTTTCGGGTGCCCCCAATACCTGCCCCTACCAGGACACGTCGTAGATGGTCCTGCTGTGATACCCTGAGAGGGTGCACACACACTTCCAGGTGGGATCGGTGCCACTGCAGACCACGCCTGGAGGGAGGTGAGAGAGCTCAATGCCCTTTCCCTCCCCTTTTTCTCTTTCCCTCTCTTTTCCCTCTCCCTCTCCTTTCCTTCTCCCTCTTCCTTCCCTTTCCCTCTCCTCCCCTTTCCCTCATTTTCCTTTCCTTATGCTTTCTCCCTTCCCTCTCTCTCTTTTCTCTCTGCCTTCCCTCTTCCTCTCCTTCTTTCTTTTGACCCTCTTTCTTTTCTTCCTTTACCTCTTCTCCTCTCCTTTCCCCTCTCTTTTCCCCTCTTTCTCCTCCCTTTCCCCTCTCCTTCTTCTTTTCCCTCTTCCTCTTTCCCCTTTTCCCCTCCCCACAGCTGTCCCCCCCACCTCCCCTCACCTTCCTGGTTCCCAGGGTGGTACCGGCGCCACACCCGGAGGGTCCTGTCGTCGCTGACAGACGCCAGACGCTCCCCCTCCTTGTCAAAGGCCACGGCCCAGACGGTAGAGTCGTGTCCCTCCAGGGTGGCACAGCACACCCAGTCGTCCTCCTCCTCCCGGTACAGACGCACCGTGTCGTCGTAGCTGGCAGAGGCCAGGAGCTGGGGAGGCAGGTGGGGGGGCAAAGTGACCCTAAATCACTCTGGATGGGACCACAGGAGGGGCTGGAAGGGGGTGGGGGGAGACAGGATGGGACCGGGGGGGACGCTGGGAGGTCCCCCCCTCTCACCTCCTGGCTCGGGTGCCACACCACATGTTTCACGTCCTGTGTGTGGGCATTGAGGACACTCACACACTCATATTCCTCCTCCTCATCCACTGTGGGGGGACAGAGTGGTCAGGGGGGGTCTGGCTGAGCCCCTGAACACCTCCCCCCCGTCCTTCCCAGCCCCCCTCCAGCCCCTCCTCACCTTCCCACACCCAGACACTCTTGTCTCGGCTGCACGTGGCCAACAGGGACCCCGAGGGTGCCCAGGCCACTGACTTCACCTCATTCTCGTGCCCCTCGAGGGTGGCCACGCACTGCAGGGGGACAGTAAAGGCTGGGACGGGTTGGAGGGCCCCAGGGGGGCTGGGGGGATTCTGGGGGTGTGGTCTCACCTCAAATCCATCCTCCTGCCGCTTCCAGACACAGGTGGTGCCATCGAAGCTGGCAGAAGCCAGGTAGGAGCCACAGGGGGACCAGGCAACCCTGCGCACGGTGCGCTGGTGCCCGTCCCCCAGCACCGCTCGGCATGTCCAGCTGGAGCCTGGGGGGGTGGGATAGGGTCCATGGACACGAGACACGCTCCGGCCCCACCCAGATCCACACCCAGCACTGCCCCGACCACACCCCAGCCATACCCAGCACTGCCTGGCACATCCAGACAGAGCCTGCAGGGGTGGGATGAGACCCCATGGGCACAGGCCACGCCCCTGCCACCCCAGCCCCGCCCCAGTCTCACCCAGCCCGAACACGGATGGGACCACCCAAACACGGGACACGCCCCCAACCAAGCCACGCCCACACAAGCTGATAACCCCGCCCACATGACCTGCTAACCCCGCCCCTCGCCACAGCTCCGCCCACATCCGCGATGTAGCCCCGCAACAACGACAACCCATCCAAACCCTCTAACTCCGCCCCCAGTAAGGCCACGCCCACGGCGAGCCCGTAACCCCGTCCCCTCCTCACAGCCCCCCTTTCCCCCCCGCTGCTCCTCCGCACCCGCACAGCCCCGCACACTCCGCACAGCCCCGCACGGCCCGGTCCCCGCCGCACCCGCCCAGCCCCGGTCCTTCCTCCCCCTGCCAGCCCCGCACGCTCCGCTCTCCCCCACACCGGCCCGGTCCCGCCCGGCCCGTTGCCCCGTACCCGCCCGTCCCCACACGCGCACGGCGCGGTCGCCCCCGCAGGACGCGAGCAGGGCCCCGCCGGGGCTCCAGGCCAGGGCCCAGCAGCGGGACTCGGGGTGCGCGGGGACCCGGCACAGCAGCGACAGCGCTTCGGGCATCGCGGGGACAGCGCGGAAACGGAAACGGCCGCGCCGGAACTGGGGCGGGGACGGGAACGGGCAGGGCCGGGAACCGGGAACGGGAGACGCGAACGGGGCGCCCGGAGCCGCTGCCGAGGGGCCGAGCCGGTATCGGGGGGTCCGACGCTGCTGCGGGGACCCCGGGCCGGTGTCGGGTGATCCAGGGCCGGTGTCAGGGGCCCGGGTCCGGTATCGGGGACGCGGAGCCGCTGTTGTGGGGCCGGAGCCGCTGCCGGTGGTCCCGGGCTCGCCGCCGAGTGTCCCGGAGCCACTGCCGGGGGTCGAGAGCGGGGGTCGGGGGTCTCGTTCCCGGTGTCCCCCGTGCCCGCGGCCCCAGTGCCGGTGCTGCCGGTGCCGGTGTCGGCGGTGCCCCCGGTGCCGGTGACCGCCGCGATGTACGCGCCGGGCGGGCCGGCGGGGCCGGGCGGGAGGCGGCGGCGGGGCGCGGCGGGGCTGCCGAAGCAGCCGGAGCGGAGCTTGGCGTCGGCGCTGCCCGGGGCTCTGTCCATCACCGCGCTCTGCACCGCCCTGGCTGAGCCCGCCTGGCTCCGCATCCACGGCGGCACCTGCGCCCGCCAGGAGCTGGGGGTGGCCGATGTGCTGGGCTATGTGAACCCCGAGCTGCTCCGAGGTGAGACCCCTTTGGCCCCTTCCATCCCTTCAGTCCTCCGTCCCCTGCCATCCTCTTCACCCCATTCTGTCCTGCTTCCATCCTTCTTCCATCCCTCTCTGTCCCCCCTCCATCTCACCTTCCATTCTCCTCCATCCCCTTCCCTCCCCTCTCCTTTCAACCCCTCTGTCCCCCTTCCATCCCTCTCCACCCCCTCCATCCCTTTCCATCTCTCTCTGACCCCCTTACATCCCCCTCCAAGTCCTCCCATTCCCTTCCACCAACACCCACAGCCCCACTGTACAAATTCAGCTCCAAATATAAAATCCTGGAATGGTTTGGGTTGGAAGGAGGTATAGCTCTATGGATATAACTCCACAGGCAGCTGCACACCATGTCTGTTTTCCTGCTTTTGGTTAACTGTGGCCCTTGGAGAGGCCCCTTCCCACCTATTTTTCCAGCATTACTCACCCCCCTCAGGCACGGATGGAACTGGAGACTCATTCCCAGCATGTCTCACACTGGCACATGTTCATTAGCACTAATTAACATGATATTTAAATGAATATTTGGATGAATTTATTAAAATTTGTGATGGTGTGGGGGAGTGGCAGTGTTACAGCCCCTTTCCCTGTCATGGACCTTGTGGAATCTGGGGGGTTCTGGTTTTAATTCTCAAGGATCTGGGTGGGATTGGAGCAGGGGGAAATTTGGGTGGAAAAGAGGGTTTTTTGGGTGCTCACCTCCGTCCCTCTCTCCCAGATTATTGCATGAACCCGCAGACGGTGCTGCTGCTCCGGGTCATTGCTGCCTTCTGCTTCCTGGGAATCCTGTGCAGCCTCTCGGCCTTTCTGCTCGACGTGTTCGGCCCCAAACACCCGGCGCTGAAAATCACCCGGCGCTACGCCTTCGCCCACATCCTGACAGGTACGGCCAGGAATTCTGCAGAAAAATCCTCACAGGTACAGCCAGGGAATTCCAGCCGGGAATTCCTGCAGGAAATCCTCACAGGTACAGCCAGGAAATTCCTGCAGGGAATTCCTGCAGGGAATCCTCACAGGTACAGCCAGGAAATTCCTGCAGGGAATTCCTGCAGGGAATCCTCACAGGTACAGCCAGGGAATTCCAAACGGGAATTCCTGCAGGGAAAGCCTCACATTTTTGGTAGATTTCTGGCTGGGTTTTGGGTGTTTGTCACCACATTTCACCCCGAGCTCTGCCCTTGCCCACAACCCCGTTCATCCCAAACCACCTCGTGACTGATTTTTCTCCCATTTGTCCCCATTTTCCTTGTCCCTCCCAGTCCTGCAATGTGCCACCGTCATCGGGTTCTGCTACTGGGCGTCGGAGCTGATCCTGGCGCAGCAGCAGCAGCACAAGAAGTACCACGGCTCCCAGGTCTACGTCACCTTCGCTGTCAGCTTCTACCTGGTGGCGGGGGCCGGGGGGGCCTCGATCCTGGCCACGGCCGCCAACCTGCTCCGGCATTATCCCACCGAGGAGGAGGAGCAGGCGCTGGAGCTGCTCTCGGAGATGGAGGAGAACGAGCCCTACCCGGCCGAGTACGAGGTGATCAACCAGTTCCAGCCTCCGCCGGCCTACACCCCCTGATCCCGCCTGGAATGTCCCTCCGGCCCCACTCCCACCTCCTGCGGCTCCCGGGGCTCTCCACAAGAGGTTTTTGGGGCGGACTGGCGGCGTTTGATTCCCGGCCTTGGGTTTGTGGCTCCGCGGCGACGTTTGGACTCGGCCTCGTTCCCCCCACATGGCTCCTCCTGGGAATGGGGCATCCATGGTTCCCCTGGGAATAAGGGATCCACAATCCTGGGAATGAGGGATCCACAATTCTCCTGGGAATGAGAGGTTTGGGATCCACAGTTCTTCTTGGAATGGGGGGTGTGGGGTCCACAATTCTTGGAATGAGGGGTGTGGGATCCACATTCCCACATCAGAGCTCGTTCCCTCCTCCTCCAAGGCCCCCAAGGCCTGGACACGAGTGGATATATTTATATATATTTATATATATTTATATCAGGGAAGCTCCCACCACATTCCCAGGGCAGAGATGGCTCATCCTGCACGGCAGGAGGTGGAAATTCCCACTCCCAGCTCTCCCTGTGCCTCTCTTCCCACCACACGGACATTCTGCACTTTATTCCAGGCTCTGGGAAGGACTGGGACAGTTTTGGGGCCTCTGGCACAGCACGGGGAGGAAAACTCTGGGGTTTTTGGGATCATCTGGCTCCTGCCAGCAAAATTTTGGGATTTTTAGCCAAAATAACCCCAGACTTTGGCCCAGCCACAGCTCCTGGGAAGCAGGAGCCCACGCTGGAAAAATCCTGGAGCTTTTATGCAAATCCCTCCACGCCGCCCCCACTCTCCTGCTTTTTCCTCCCAAATTCTGTGTTTTTCCCTCCTGCTCTTGGTTCCTTGCCCCCTTTCCCCTCCTCAATCCCTGGGATGCTCCATCCAGGAGCAGACACTTTCCCTGGATGGTGCTGGAGCACCAGGAGAAGCTGATCCAGCATTTCCCATCCCGGAGGAGGAATCCAGCAGATTTTGGGGCTGTTTAAGGCAAATAATAAGGAAAAAAACCATGGGATTCATCGACCAGCACCGAAAATCCCACCAGGGAATCATGGAATGGTTTGGCTGGGAAGGACCTGAAAGACGATCCAGGAAAGCCCCAGGCTGGCTCCAGGAAGAAGCTTTAGGCCTGGAAAATGGCTTGTTTTAGGTTCTCCACCGTCCCCCCAATGCTTTTATCCCTGTTTTCCTGCTTT